TTTTTTACAGTCAAGGAAAAAGGTGAAATGTTGAGAAAAAATTGCTAATTTCAATATAAATTTATTTTAGTGTTTTTCATTATATTTATTATTTGAATAATTATTAATATAATTTCATGTATAAAAATAACCAATAATTGTGAGCATTTTTTAGCATACCTTTATTTCCTCTTACTGTAACTTAAAGTTATTTCCTATTGTATTTTTAAAACAAGTAATTATTTATTTTTAATATAATTAATATAAATATTTGTTTCCATATCAACAACATAATTTCTGTTTGTGTTTTACAAATGGAATTTTTAATTAAATAAACTTTTTAATATTTTCAGTATGATTTTTATTTTATTGTTTGTATTGTCTGACAGCTTAAAGTGGTGTAAAATAGAAAACACAATTGTTTGTGTTAATACCAATGTCGGATGTCCACCTTCGTATCAATGGAGTGTAGAAGGGTTGTTAATATCAATAAGTAAATATGATATGTATACAACAATAAAATGTGGTATAAACACAGAACTTAATGTAAACTTGCCAGATGGAACCGAATTAAAAATGAAGTTTACAAATAAGCAAAAAGAGTTTAGGGTTGAAAATTATTCAGTCAACAAGAAGACAGAAATTAAAAAAGAAACATGTAACGTAGCAAATTGTAACATGTGCAATATGGGAAATCCAAATCTTTGTATGGTTTGCAATGATGGATACTATGTTTATGGTAATGATAAAAGTTCATGTTATCGATGTAATAACTCTATATGTAAACAATGTAATTCAAATCCATCAGTATGTTCTTCTTGTTATGATGGATTATATTTAAACAGTGATTCTGAGTGCGATTACTGTAGCAGTAATTGCAAAACGTGTAGTTCTTTAAACACTTGTACAGATTGTAATCCTCAAAAATATTTGTTAAATGGAAAGTGTTTAACTTGCCAATTTTGTATAAATTGTAATACTCAAACAGGATGTAAACAATGTTGGGATGGTTATTATCAAGAAAACAAAGGGTGTACGCCATGTGATACAAATTGTAATACATGTGGTCAAAATGGTTGTACTTTATGTAAAAATACTTATTATGTTGAAGGAAAAAGATGTGGAAAATGCACACCAAATTGTAACAGATGTAATGGACCAAATTACAACCAATGTATAACTTGTGAAGCAAATTACTACATACAAGATGGGACGTGTACACAATGTGATCCAAACTGTCGAATTGGATATTGTAGCCATGACAATGGTTGTACAAATTGTAAAGATGGTTTTTATGTAATTTCAAAAAGATGTTCAAGATGTTTATCTCCTTGTACGTTATGTAGTGGACCTGGAAGTAATCAATGTTCAGCTTGCCAAACGGGATATTATCTTTATAATTCTGGTTGTTATCAATGTGATACAAACTGTGTTTCTGGAAAGTGTGTTGATGGTTCTGGATGTACAGAATGTAAACTTAAATATTATAAAAATGGGTTGAATTGTACCAGTTGCCACGCTAGTTGTAAAACATGCAGTGGAGGTACACAGTCGAGTTGCACTTCTTGTGATTCCGGTTATTATCTTGATGGAGGTGTTTGTATGGCGTGTGATACAAACTGTGTGAATGAGAAATGTGTAAATACACAAGGATGTACTCAATGCAATCCAAATTATTATGTTAATAACAAAGGATGTTCTCGTTGTGACTCAACATGTTCGACTTGTTCAGGAGGAAGTTCTAATCAATGCACATCTTGTGTAATAGGGATAAGATATTTAGAAAATGGGTATTGTAAATCATGTGATTCAAATTGTGTTGCTGGATATTGTTTCGATAACCAAGGGTGTACTCAATGCCAAAATCATTTTTATGTGAGTGAAAAGGGTTGTGCTGCATGCCATTCCAATTGTTTAACATGTTCTTCGAATGCCGAAAGCACCTGTTTGTCGTGTGTAAAAAATGTTCGTTATCTTGATAATGGGTATTGCAATGAATGCGATTTAAATTGTGTTTATGGTAAATGTGTTGATATATCGGGGTGCACGGAATGTCCAGTAAAATATTTTGTTAATAACAAGAAGTGTTCTGCGTGTCATCCAACATGTTATACATGTTCTTCAAATATGGAAAAAACATGTTTGACATGTGAAAGGGGAAGATATTACAATAGTGGATTATGTACAGTTTGTGATACATTGTGTATAGACAATTGTGATACTGTACTTGGTTGTACATTGTGTCCTGATGGACACTTTATCGAAAACAAAAAATGTTCTCCGTGTGATTCAAATTGTAAGACGTGTTCTCTGCAGAGTACAAATTGTCTTTCTTGTAATGAAGGAACATATTTTCAAAATAATAAATGTTTACTATGCAGTCCTTATTGTACAACAAATAAGTGTGACACTGTTCAAGGTTGTACCGAATGCATAAATGGTTATTATAAAAACAATATGACTTGCAACAAATGTCACGAAGAATGTCTGACATGTGACAATGGTTCTAATTTAGACTGTCTATCATGTACAGACAAGGTTCGTTATTTGGTCGGAAGACAATGTGTTTTATGCGACACAAATTGCGCACAAAACATGTGTTTAAATACGACTG